GATGAAGACCAGATCACATTTTATGACTAGTTAAAGCAGGAAGCCATGTAATTCCAAACCATTCACAATCCTTTTTCATGGCATTGTATACAGTTTGTGCACCTGACTTCCAGTGTATATGCTAGTGTCAACAACACTTGTATGCTTGTTACTGAGATCTTGCAGTGGTATCATCATCATGCTATGTATTTTCAAATTCCACCCTCAACAGATCTCTTATTTAAGTAGAAAATAGAGCTGTAACATTCATTTCAAATTATCAGTTTCATGCCTAAAGCGACATGTGATCAAATATAGCTTCATTAAACTGGTATTGTTTCTTTAGGAGGGCTTGCGGGCCCAACAAAGCAAAGCCAAAGCAAATGCCCAGAAGAAAGAACAGCAACAGAGACAGCTAAGAGAATCCCTGCAGGCCCAAGGCATCAACAGTACCAAACATATGTACCAACAGAAGCAAATAGAGAAATTGAAACAAAAACAAGAGTATGTCCTTTCTTCTCCTCTTCTCTCCCACTCTGTCCTCCACTCCCACTCTGTGCAGCAGTGTGTGGGTGTTTTCTCTCACTGTGTGCAGAGAGGAATACATGACCCCATTTCACTATAATGCAGTGCTGCTGATTTGCCATTTTCAGGGAATTTGAGAACAGGCAGAAGTCAAAGAGGCTGGCAATTATGGCAAAAATCCTTCAGGAGGAACAGCTGGTAAAGAGCAGGAAGAAGCACCAGGTATTACTGCCTAAACCCTCAGCTACTGACAAGTTGCCATCTGTGGGGAGGACAAAAGAGAAGCTCCTATACTACTTGGATGCTAGCCCTCCATCAGCCACAGAGGAGAAAGCCACAACTGTGAGTGGTTTATAACATCTGAGATGCCAAATGACTGTGTAAAGAGATCAACTGCATTCTGAACAATTATGACCTGATATGTGTGTGTGCGTGTATTTGTCTGGCAGTTAAGACAGTTCAGTGACACCAGCAGTTCATCGTCAGCTTCCTCTGACATTGAGGACCAGGAGGAAACCATGCTGCAGAAGATGGTACACCAGAACCTTGCTGACAGCCTGCCTGAGCCCGAGTTCTCTGGGCTGTGGGACCTCGAATACGAGGTGCACATCACTAACAGCCACAGCCTATCACAAGCAAATACTCGCTGCCAAAATTAAACACTCATAAATCATGTCCCATTTACAGCAGCAGTTTTTTGTGGATGTGCTTATTGCCTATTTTTGAACACATGAATTCCCTACCTGCAATAATAGAAACAGGGTCAAAATGCAGTTTCACTTCCCAGTAGCCAAGCCTTCAGTTTGTTAGTGTGCTGCAATAAAAATGAACTTAAACAAGCTATCATGAACCACTACAGTTAAGATGATTGCTGGTAGGTTAAAATTTCTGCAGTCCACGTGTCGAAGTGTCCTTGGGCAAGACATTGAACCCTCAAGTTGCCCCCACTGGTTAGAGCCATCGGTTGAGTCTGCGCCGCAGATGGCTGCCTCAGTTCTGTACTGGAAACAAATTCCTTGTGTGTAACGTACTTGGGCAATAAAGGTGATTATCTCTGATTAAAACTAGCCCATTAGCTTAGTGCGCTAGGTGCCTGTAGGCAGCTAGTACTAACTTTCTAATACAGTCTGAGAGCACCGTAGACCTTAGAAATCCAAATATTTCCCAGAATTGTGGTGTAGGTAAAAGCCTATCAGTTCTATTGTTTTGTGTTTTTTAAATCTAGGAATAAAGTGCTTTACTCAAAGGCTGCTCCCTGGAAGTTGTTGATAGAGGCACACTTTAAATCTGGGGCGACAGGCATCACTTTTCATTGTGTTGAGGCCTCAGAGCAAGCGCAGTGTTGCAGCTCAGAGCTGTGAAGAAGTGACAAGTCAAATGGAAGTGATCTGTCCTCCTAATAGACAAATCAGACTGATGCCCTCATCAAAGAATACTTACAGTATCAACCCACTGTTGGCTATTGCAACAGATAAACACAGCAATGTAACAAAGTTTATAAGAAGATTCATGATGGGGAAAATAATGATTAAATATCTGTATTCACTTTAAGTGCTTCACAATACAGAAAAAACCCATCTTATCCCACATTGCCTGGCAACATCACATACTGTATTCTGTATCAGCGTGTTCCAGCTAGGAGGAGTTTTTGTCACTGACTACAATCTGATGCTAGCACCTAGTGCAGAGAGAAAATATGCTCATTAAATACAATTTTGTGATTTAAATTGTAATTTTAGGTAGAGTTCCTGTATGACTGCTTTGATTTAGACATTGAACATTTGTGAGCTGACCTTTTATGTGAATTTTGGTGCTACAGCCAGACTAATACTGGATTTAAAAATTCAGCGATGAATATACTTTCAGGTATGCTTTTTTAGTAATCAGCATATAAATTATGATAAAGATCCCTTACATTTGCTTTTTAATGAATTGTGACTGTGTTTACTCGAAAACTATTTTGTAATATCTGCACTGCAGTTTCAGATATTTAAACTATTAGTTTTAGACAGTGGTCAGTGACTTTGACTTTCCGACACTGGAAAAACTTGTCATATGTTCTTTAGGTAAAGATGGAGCATACACAGATACAGCAGTAGAAATGTCTCCCATTTTTTCATATCACAACAGACTGTGCCCCTCATTTTTAGTCTTCATGTTATTTCATAATCCTTCATGAACTATGCTTTCTTTTTTTTTAAATAAACGACATATGGTGCATATATCTGCATTTAGTCAGACAGAGGATATGGTTCTCTTTCACGCAGTAGCTGCGGTATTCATGAGAGAAAAGTAAAGACGCATCTCATACAGACCCTAAACCTTTGGTGAGGCGCTGATGAGAGAACAGCAACTGAAAAGTAACGTAACCTTTTTTTTATGTACATATAACATAAAGACTAGATTATGTCTCCTAATCACCAGGTGTGCTATGTGTGGTATCAGAGTACTTTTAAATCTATAACATTTCATGCATCTTGCTTTTTTCTATCTAATGTTGCCTTCTATATAAAGAGTCATATTAATGTCTGCGAATTTTAGGTTTGTTATGTTATGGTGTAACAATTCTACTGTTTCATTGCTGAAATTGACTGCATGTTTACAGAAGCTCCTGAATGAAAAGACTACATTAATGCAGACAGATGTAAATCAGAAAGAACCTCACATGGCTGTTGGCAAGTTCAGTGTTCCTGCTAAAAAGGTTCATGGAAAAGAGTTCAAAGGTCCTCCGTTTATCAGTAAACCAGAGGGCATCCTCTTCAAGGTACCACACTACTTGTTTTGTGAACACATCACCCTTTATTGTACTCTTTATCGAAACTTGATCATACAGTAGGATGTCAGGTCCTCTAGCATCATGAATGCTAATAATTTATAAGGATAATAATAATAATTTGTGTGTTATGTGCATGTTGCCAATTTAAAACTGTATGAGTTTTTGATTATTCAAGTTTTGGCAAAGGATTTTAGTAGCAACAGAATGCAAACAGAATTGTTAATATTTTAAATGGTCTGTTTTAGGATTTTGAAGTGGGGAAAATGTATAAGAAGAAAACTGTCCTGACTAACATCACTTACAACACTAGCCACTGCAAGTTTCTTGGGGTCTCCACTCAGCTAAAGGATTTTATCTTTGTCAGGTAAGATTTTTACATTGTGAAAGTCTGTAAACAGTTTGCAGGATTACAGATGACAGCAGTTGCCTTGGTATAAACAGAAGTGGACTGTAAATCAGCAGCATATACTGTACAGCATGCACTTTATATTCTACATGTGTCTGCTGTTCTTGACCTTGGAAGCAAAATATTCAGTCAGTTCTTCCCAAATGATGCTTTGTCAAGTACTTTGGCGTCTGATACAGACGCTGAAGGGGTACCTTTGGTGCCTGTATGAGACACTGAGTTTTCAGTAGAGAACAGTGTTCACCCACATACATCAGTATTTGATGGCCAGAGCAGCAAGTTCAGTCACGTATTTCCTGTGACATAGTATATGAAGGGAGAAGGTCCTTGCTGGGAGGAGGTGGGTCAGATTCCAGTGCCAACCTACTTGCCTTAGTTTGTGCCCCTTTACTCCAAATACCATATTGAGGTCAGTTCTTTATATTACAAGTTTACAGACTAGGGCTTTCAAAGAAACCAGCAGCTCCAGTTTGTATCACAGTGGGACAGTTCAGTCTCTGTGGCATTGCTTCAGGTATTGTAGTTGTTTTGAAAATATAATTTAGAAGACAGAGCTTCTTCTGTTGTAACTATGGTAGAGCTAAATGTGTTTACAGCAACAAATTCTAGATACTGCTTCAGTTATCACATGGAAACATCTGCTCAAATATCACCACTTAGGACTTTAAAACAACCACTTCTTGTCATTTTAAAAGATGACGGAGTGGACGTGAAAGCAGAACCTGTCTTCCCACATATGAACGCCAGCTGAGCTCACCACGCTCACAGTTCCTGTTATGAGACTCCGTTCAGTGAGTCAGGCTACATCTCTGCTATCTCCTCTCTCGCAGCCTGCAAGCAGCCCACAGGCCGAGCAGAGATGCATTGTTCTCCAGGTCACTCACTATGTATCACTTTCCCATCAGCTCCCCCATGACTTGATGTGGTTTTTTCATCTCTCTTTTGTTTCTGCCTGACTGAGTGAAGAGTTTCCCGGGCTGCAGCAGGGTTAGCTGGAACTTACTGATGCTGTTACTGAGGCATAATGCTGGACCACTTGTCTAAACACATCACCTTCTATTCCACTATTCAAAACTCAAATGTAGCCAACACACACTTACCAAATAGACTAATGCACACACACTGTATACTGTACATTATACCCACTCACTCCCTTCCATGCCAGGGAAACACAGTATATTACTGCAAACTGTACTGCAAAAGGATCACTGGCAAAGTAGTGTAAGAATAATATAATTTGGTGTAAGGAAAGGTCTAATTTAAAAACAATGCATACACATGCTGACAAATTCACCTGTCATACACCTCACTAGGTGTCTGTGTTTAATGTGTGAATAACCTGCTGACTATTCACACAATAAAACCTACAATATTGAGATCAGTCGTGACAACTGCCAAGCCTTTATGGCTCACCCAGCTACAAACATTAGCACAGCAGGAGAGAGAAGCATGAACCAGGAACACACTGGGCTTTTCAACACCAGCGCATGGCTCCCTATACGCCCCCTGATTTTCTAAAAATGTCTTTCCATCCCCCTACACCCCCCTCTACCAAGCGTAGGTGCATTTGTGCCAGAATGGGCTCTGCTGTATCTTTTCACTAGTGGGACAAAAACCACAACAGCCCAGGCTTGCCAGACCTAGTGAAAAGCCATTGTACAGAAGCTGTGTTTTACAATTGGTGTCACTTCCTAGTATGTACTGCAAATGCCTAGCTGAGAGGAAGACACCCCTCTGTGGTTTGTGGGATTAGTTGTGAGATGGAGCCTAAGACTGTAGTAGAAATGGTGATACTCGTCAAAATCTCGGGCTGAGAACACACCTACAGCTTCTTTAATTAGGTCCAAATCATGCTACAATGAGCTACGCAGTTAGATTTTTCATCCAGTGTATAGATGTTCATTAATGACAAAACTGTTTAGGGAAAATTCTAATTGAACAGGTACCTTCAAGTACAATTGAAATTAAATTGGATGTTTTTATTTAGTACATTATAGTTTTGTAGAGATTTCATTAAGTCCAAACATTTGGAGTCATTCTGAAATGGACCCATTGAAATAATACCTTCCAAAAAAGACAGCTATTAGAACAAATTCAAAATGTGAATGATGGCCATATGTATACCATTATTATGGCTGTGTCCTGGTGGAAGTAGTTAGCTTGAACAAGTTGCTGCACTTGCCTGAGCCTGTTGTTTTATTAATCATCTTTGGTAGTCTGTCTCCTTAAAGTAATCATTTAATATGAGCATCAGTTACAACTGCAGCTGGGCTTTATATGTTCTGTAATAGAACCATGTTTATGTCTAATTAAAAACAATCCACCTGCATATTTTCAAGCAGTTTCATTGTGGTTTTTGTTACACTGAATTAATTCTAGTTTGGTTAAATTCATATAAAAATGCTCTTAGAAACTTTCTGGTTTTGGATTTTAAATAGATCCTAAAACTACAAACAGAAATATGCATTATACTGTAGCCATCAGATGTAAACATCAGAAATTTCCCCACTGTGGGATCAATAAAGTACCTACCTACCTAAATAGAGCAAGATTTCACTTCTGTGAAATAAATACAACAGCAAGATTATATGAGTAATATTCTTGCACACATCATCAGAGTTTCAATGCTTCACTGTAGACTGCTTTCACATGTAGTTATGAGCGTGAGGGTGTTTTAACTCTGTTGAACTGAATAATGAACTAAGATCGCTTATTGATTTACTGTAGGAGAAGCCAATGGGGAACAGCCAGAACGCTCAGCTTCATCATTTCACATCACGTATGGCCTCATTTGCAGGACTTTATATAGGACTGTACCAGGAAACACTCACTCAGCATTTAGTCCCATGTGACCTGTTCTATTTTTCCTCACTTGTCTTTTCATGCCACCTGTCTCAAAGCTAGGAAAGAAAAATGGTAGAGATAAAAAAGGAAATTGGCCAAAGAAAGAAAGAAATTCTGATCATGTGCAGTGTAACATTTATAATTACCACCAGACTTACCTAACAAAGGGGAATCCTTTCACATGCTTCCAAGTCACAGTGGTGAGCTGCTCCAAGGTCCTTTACCTGACAGCTGGACCAGTGACAAACAACTGGTTTCATTCAGACATAATGATCCACTACTCATCAGTTAATAATATTATGCAGAGATTGCTGATTATGTTGTTGTTTGCTGTTTGACATAGTATTTATTTCATTTAAACATTGCAATTCCAAAACTGCAGCCATAATATGTAACAGTGAAACATAAAGCAACTTCTGAGTTCATTAAAATATTATTTGTGGTGGTCCACAGCTATTCAAACCATGTGTAAGAAAAGGCTCTTATCAGGTTTGAAAATTATTTGTGGCTACAGGCATCTGATAGGACTAATTATCTCTACATATTTTCAGTGACGTATGAAGGTTTTGCCTTAGTTGCTCGTAGCTAACCCAACTCATCATGTCCACTGAACGCAGCTGAGCCATGTCCCATTGTGTCTCTGTTGCAGTTAAAATGTCTTCAAGTACTCTGTTCCTCAGCGGCCACATTTCTGATATTGCTGAGAGTAGTTTTACCAACATTGTTTGTGTTATACAAGTAAAATGCTGCATGCAGTCTTACATTTATTTTGTACAAGCCTGCGTCTGTATTTATTACATAGCACATCTTATTAACAAATGGACAAATGTAGTCTTCATCCTCCATCAGAGTTTGAGAAGTTGACATAAAAATCAAGAAAAACTAATATGAACCCTTTTTTTTAGTTTTGGACACTTTCATCCTGTTCTACCTTTGGGCCAAAAACAGCAACGTGGACAGAGGATAGCTCATCTTCTATGCATGAAAACTAGCATGTGTGCATTCACATTAAAATGGTTCTAACCTTTTAACTGGATAACAGCATTACCAAGATCTAACAACATTTGTTATATTTCTTTATAATACCTAATTTCCTTCCTAATTATTCTTGCATGTTTGTAAGTTGTTTTTTTTTTTTGAGAATCCTCTGTGCTTCTCTGGCTGTCTGCCTGCTATATTCATATTGATCTGCCCTTTTCTTGAGTTGCTGGAAGGGCAGCAAGTTAGCAAGCTCCGCAGCACAACATTAGGGTTTGTGTAAATGTGTGCTGTGAGATACACGTGACACTTGGAAACAGCTCAGACCTCATGCTACTTTTCTCATCACGAAATAAACGTTTGGTTTCTGGTATGGTTTGCATGTGATATAAGATTTGGCTGTGAAATAATAACTGAACATTCTGTTCCACACTGCACTGTCTCCATATGAAACAACTGCTATTTTGTTCCTTTTTTTTTTTTGTGTCTAAGCATTAAGCTGACTTTTTGTTATGGTTATGTCTCCAGTTTAGTCCTAGTCCACTCTCAGGACGTTCATCATACTTCAGCATTTCATCTGAAGCTGATGATCATTTGTTTGAGCCATGCAAAGATTCGCACTAGATGTGCTGACACAAACAAACACTGCCTTTACATTGTGTTGGCATTGTATGTCTAACAAATAAACTATTTTAGTCTGAGTGAGCATTGTTACCTTTGTCTCAGCTGTGTAATGGAAGGTTTAATAACCACTATCTTATTCAGAACTTGTGATTTGCGTTTCAGCTTTGACCCTCCTGGTTCTTTATCTGCTGGGATGTCCTTTGAAATACAGATTGTTTTCCAACCTATGGTTAGTTGCATCACTGCTCCAATTACACCTACACTGCATGGTACCATTAACAGACTCATAGGCTCAAATCTGACGCTGGTTTTTTAGTGGTTTTAATCCTTTTGAGTCTATTAAAATGTGAAGTTTATATCTGCATATCAGCATTTTGTCAAATTGGAACAAAGTGGAATACGGATAGTGTTAGCAAATGAGGTACACAGTGATAATCAAATCCAAAACTTAACATCTGTGTACCTTGTAAAAAATGACTCAAAGTTCTGTAGTTGGATCTAACATCAGACCTTTATTCTGAATTAAATGCCAGATAGCCAGTGCTGCTATGAAGAAACACCATGTTTTGTTATCTGATTCCTGCAGATCAATGAGGAACTGGAAGGAGAGGTCCACTTTGCATCAACACTGGGTCCTTTCTCTGTGCCCGTCAGATGCACCGTGAAGAAATGTGATGTGAGTAGTGTGCTGTAGCCAACTTACAGAAAATTACTGGACATTAAAAATGACTGTCAGTGTAATTTTATGCCTTGTTACAGGCTATTTTTCTGTCTTGAAGGGATTTTTTTTTTCTTGCTGTATATTGTATGTACACGTTATAAACATACATTTGTTAACATAGATTTAGGTGGTCTACTTAATTGTAGTTTTAGGTTGTTAATAATGTTATAATAATTATAGGATAAATAAGAAATAATATTCAATAAATATGTACTCATTCACACTGTACCCTGTTTATTTTCCACAGAACAACAACACTGACTGCCTATCATCCCAATATAACAGTCTAATTGCATTAATGTGTGTAAAACTATGCTCAGCTCTTCAGTGCTGATGCTAATTAATTCATGTACTGTTTCCTATTATGTCCTTTCTCTAGATGGAGGTTGACAGTCAGTTCATTGACTTTGGTTCACACGTGGTGGGCCAGACTATTTCGCGGACCATAACTTTGACCAACAAGGGTGCACTGGCCACACTCTTCAGCCTGGACACCTCCACATCTCTCAGTCCAGAAACTAGCCATGTCCAGATGCCATCCCAGGTCTCTGCAAACTCATGCCAGGTCAGACCATCAATATGGACCTCAAGAGGCAGACTAGAATACCTAGTCAATTCACCTGAGCAGGTCTAAAGACAGCAATATAAGTATGTATAAAATCAGACCAATGTGCGTTATTGGCTGACAGGAGACAAGTAGTCAAAACACAACATCTGACAACGAGAAGAGCTCTGCATCCATGGATGCTGTGCAACTTCAGCCAGAGCAAGAGAGTCAGAAGCTCTCTGAGGCATCACAACAAGAGCAACCAGGTAAAGTGTTGCACATATGCACAGTATTCATTTAATGTCAGTTTCACCCTAAACTTAAGTTCTACATGGACCTAAAAAACTGAAACCTGAAGCTGTACTTGCATAAGGCCTAACTCTGGCGCCAATCCCAGCCAGCAATCGGGCGAAGGCGGGGTACACCCTGGACAGGTCACCAATCCATCGTAGGGCTAACACATAGACGAACAACCACACACACGCATGCACTCCTATGGGCAATTTAGAGACACCAATCAACCTAAGCTGACTGAAATATGTCAACAACTATTGGACAGATTTCTACAAAACTTTGTAGACATTCATGGTTCCCAGATAATACATTCTAATGACTACAAATACATGTACCAATACATCATGACATTTACATGAGCAGAGGGTTCACCTTGCTCTCACAGCCGGTGACAATGAAGCTTCTTCTCTTTTGTGATATCAGATTAGAAGTCTTCATCGCTACATTCAGCACTTTTCCTCAGCTGATTCTTTGATAAGCTGTTCAGTCTTTTGTTTCTGCTCTGCTGGTTGTGGAAGAACTGTGCTCAAGCGGCTCTGACTCTGTTTTTATATTTAGTTTTTTTTTTTTTTATTTGCCATCTGCAGATCCCTGTCATATTTACAAACTGAAGTGTATGCCCGCACTGCCATGAAGTCAATTGATTATGGTGACCTTGAGCTTGAACTTGAGGTTACCATGAAACCATATTTTGGTTACTGTTACAAATCTGATCTGTCATCTACTCTTCTCTGAAGGCAGGTTGACCACTCAGCAGTAAAAATGAAAGGTTTTCCCTATGTGTGTGGCAGTGTCAGAGGCTTCAGCAGCACATCCAGAAGCTATTTCTGAGGCTTGTGTGCTCACTGATGTGGACGCTCAGGTAGATGAGAGCCCCCAAGACTCCAGTGACATAAGTCTAGGAAATGTAAGTATGTTCAGTTATGTCTTACAGCAACACTATTGCTTTCAGCTGTAATTGTGAAATCACTTGTAGTATTCTGCATGTTTAAAGAAGGTAAAGATGAAATTTATGGCACAGAAAATGAGAAAAAAGAAGATTAAAAAATATTTATGAACATGTCTCTTTTCACAATACAGTGTAAGGATATCATTGATTTGTGGTCATTTTAAGGGTAAAATCACAGCAGGAGTCAGTTGTAGCCTATATTGGGTACTGGCTAGTTGGTGGCTTGTACTGTATCTCAAATATGATGCTTATGATGTAGTTTGATTTATCACTTATTATAACTTACTAATATAACAGTGGTTTTCTATGGAAAAATCTTGGTTGGAGAAGATTCTTAAAAAAAACATTCAATTGATTGTATGCAACTATACATGAATGTGTTAGACTGTTTTTATTACTAGCAATAGTCATACTAGTAGCTTTATCTTAATCTAATTTTAATGAGCTCTGTGGAGTTTATATTTTGACTTGGATGGTACAAGATAGGCCATGGGGTTGTTTAAATGACATAAGTTCACCTTCCTGGGAGCATGGATCAAATAATTAAATTTAGTTGTGGTTTTCCTAAGAATGCAAAGTTGGTGTTGTGAGACAAGAAGAATGTTTGTGTTCCCCAGAGGATGAATACTATTTATTATTGCCCAATACTTTGGTTTATAAATACCTGTAAAACAAATGAGATTCCCATCTAACACAAAATAGCATGCTAAACTAAGGTAAACCTTACACAGTACCTGTTTAACATCAGCATGTTAGCATTTGTGTTGTGAGCATATCAGCATGCTGAATTCAGCATTTAGCTTAAAGCTCTGCTGTGCCTAAATACAGCCTCATAGAACTCCTAGTTTGGCTGTATACTTTCAGTCTTTCCAAAAAAGATATGAACTACAATGTCAGCTAAAACTGAACTGATGATGGCTATAGATAAAATGTCAGGCATCACTAAAATCATTTAAGTACCAATTACCTTAGAGGGTTATGAATACCAAATTACACATCTCTTTGTTTGGTTATTGTTGTGATATCTTGCTCAGGCAATTTTAACCTTTGTCAATGGACTAGCAGAGAGACACCTGCTCTGTCTGTGAGGAGACAGGCTGTTTTCTCTGTCTGTAGAAGACTCTGTTTTTTTAGCACTGACATCATGCGTGCCTTGTGGCCTGTGCGAGGTTCTGGAGTTGTTCAGGGTTCATTATGTCTCTCTGATGGGGGGTTAATCACCTCTCCCTCTGTGCTTGTTATGGCAGTGCATATTGCATGTGCCCCTGGCTCGATCATTGTCATTTTGACTGATACTTTAACATTGTATGGTTGAAGCCTTGTGTCTTAAATGGTGGATTATCCATCATCCGTCATGGTTCCACAGTAATGAGTTGGCTTCTGCATGAATAGCTTCCTCCTCTCTTTTGTTTTTATTATTCCTCTCCAGCAGTAGAAAGTAACTAAGTACATTTACTCACATACTGTACTTGAGGACAATTTTGAAGTATCTCTGCTTTAGTATTTTCTTTTTTTGCTGCTTCGTACTTTGACTTCACTACATTATAGAGGCAATATTGCAGTTTTTACTGCACTACATTTATTTGATAACTTTAGTTATTTTTCAGAATCAGACTAATAAAAAATACAGTATAATCATAAAACTTCATTGATCTCTAGTGGAAAATTCACAAGCTACTCAGCAGTACTTCAAATTCTAAGCATAAATACAAATTAAAATTAGCTCCACCTTTACCAGTTGTAACACTGAAGTGATGAACACAGTAATGTAACAATTAAAATCTTATAATATGATATAGATTAAAGTTAAATGAACCCTTCTGTATAATGAGCACTTTTACTTGTGGTATTTTAAGTATAATTTGATGCTAATATTTTTAAACTATGGCATTGCTACTTTTACTTTTGGGTAAGGAATCCAAGCACTTCTTCCACCACTGTTGCTTTCATCACATTGGTGCTTTGTAGTGGTGCGGACAACCCGCACTGCCTATCACTGTTTATTTGATTGCACGCCATTTGAAGTTGCACACCTGAGTGAATTTTGCTTCCGCTACATGGGTAGAAATGGTTTTGTGTCATAAATTAAAACAGTTCAGCTTAACTGTGTCCTGTGTGTACCATCAAAATAGAGACATGGTGAAAAGTGCTGGTATCCCTATCTAGCAGTGCTCCATGTTGAAATTAAAAGATAAAGTATTTTGTCATGCATAGAGATTGTTTTAGAGATACTGAACTATATGATAAAAAGGTTAAATATCTAATGTTTGCTTGTCCTGTGTGATGTGCCCTCCCTCAGGTTAGAAAGGGGGAGATTGGACCTTTTGAAAGCATCAAACTAGAAGTTCTTTTTACTCCAACCATTCCAGGAGAGGCCAAACTGGAATTCCACATCAAGTTCTCTGACTTATCCAGCAAACCAGTAAGACACATGTTTTTCTCTTGTCAGTGTCATAGGTAGAAAAGAAGATCAGGGTAATGGTTTTAAATGTTTATGGTTTTATTCAAATCGGTGTTACTTTCCGGAAATGATTTGTGACTAAAGACAATTTGGTTCAAACAGATACCCATCAATGTGAGGGGTGTTGCAGTCAGTGCTCCTGTATGGGTCGTTCAGCCCAGCATTGATTTGAAGATCTGCATGTTTGACTGTGTCTATCAAGACAGTGTCGTTTTCCAAAGCAGGTGGGTCCCTGACCAAAAAGCATTCTTAATACAGAAGTGCTCCAATTTGTCTGCACTGTGGGACCTTGTATTTATGCAGCTTGAACAGATCACTGTCAAACCCAGAGATGGACACGAGAGCTCGAAGTGAATCCACATTACAGTACTATGCACTGTTTGTGTGATTGATTTAAGTCTGTATTAGCATTATCTACAAACGTCAAGTGCTGCACTACTTTTTATGTCTGCTATTTGTTGTTGAGGTAATACAAGAATTTTCTACAATATGCTTATACTGTAAATGAAAATAAGTAAACTTTTTATTATTATAAATAAGTCAATTATGATGCAGAACTCAAGAAAATGAACAACTAACTGTCTGCCTTGTTAGTAGTTATATAGTTTTTGTCAAGGTAGTGCAGCGTGTTCTTTTATGAAGAATAATCGGAGTCAAATATCACCTTTCAAACATTTATTATCATGACTGAACAGACCATCGAATAAAGCAATTTACAGAGCTCTGGGTTCCATCTCTATCTGAAGCCCTGACCTCAACAGCAAAACTGTTCAACTCGTCTTCAGGATGAGAGGGAACCCTGTCGTCCTCCATTCAGTTGATTTTATACAATTTCAAATGTGCCGTTGTAGGCTGGTCCAGTCCTCTCGTGCTGTTCTATTGGTCCATCTATCCATCCGTCCTCCTCCTGCATCCTTTCTGCTTCAATGGGAAAGGCATCTTCCTAAAGATGGAGGAAATCCTACTCTGTCTAAATTCCTACACTCACTTCTTTCTTTGTTTCCAGCTAACTAACTACACTATATAAAACATGGCTTTCCATTTGGCTAATTAAACTGTCTTGCCTGTGTGTGTCTGTATATTGCCTTGCCTTTGAAGTTGTCTCCTCTTCCTGACTTTTAGATCTAATCTCTTGTCTATTACCATTGGTGTCCCAGTGACCCCAAATTCCCTGGCCTCTTCAGCCAGAGGTGATAATAAAGTATCTGTGGACCCTCCTTGTCAAAGCTGTAAACCTAATGAAATTCAGTGTTTTAGTGAACCAGTCCCCCCTTGATGTTAAACAGTGCTCCAGTTGACTGACACAGTAAATACTGACCAGTGATTCAGTGAACACATAAGGTGACATGTAACTACATAAACATAACTGTAAGATTAAAGTAGGTAAACTTATGTATGCTATAAATTAAATCTTAACTATGATAGAATTATCATACGCAAACAAAGTAAACACACAGGTTGACTAATCAACAAGCATAATGTTAATCTTCTACTAATTAAGTTCTTAATTCCTCAAATGTTAGAATCAACCTTAAAGTATGACTTTGTTAATAATTTTACCCAACAGTAGGAGACCAAAGGTAGTAAGAGAGTGGGAGTGTTTACTGTAGTTATTGTACTATTGTCTGAAGCACATCTGATAGACAGGTGCAGACGAGACTGAAGTCATACAAAAGAAGGGAGGGAACACCCAGTTTATTGACAAAATAGTGTTTTGATCATAGACCTTCATTTCACATTTAACTCACACTATGAAACATCTTTATACACAGGCTGTAACATCTGATCAAAAAAGGAGTTGAATCAAAAAATACCTGAAATGATTACACTGTTAAAAACTCATAAATGACAAAGACTGTATAATAGCCTCAACCTAACTAGATCACTGCAGAAATTAATGGTGTATTTCCACTTTTATTTGTTGTCATGCTTGGAAATATTCTTGGAACAGAGTCTGGAAAGTGGCATGGACTGCTGATGAAGCATGCTGGCTCATCTGCTGAATGCAATCTTAAGACTCCCTCATAAACTCTCTCTCTGCCACGCAGGCATTTTCACAGAAAAACGGCTCATGGAAATCCCTTATGACTGGCGAGGCCAACTTACGGTAGTTTTCAGCCAGCCCAGACTCTTTACATAACTACACTTAGAACTAAGTGGCGTATTGAAGTATTCAACAAATGTGTGGACATAATAAAATAGAGATGTAGCTGATAAATTTCGGTCTATACAGCAACATAAAACAAAAGTAAATCGTTTTTGATTATGGGTGTGATACATTATGATGCACACTGCAGGTCAAGAATACACCTGGGACAGTAACATTTACAGACATGTGGTCCACCACCTGTCATTGTGTCACATCATGTGGGGGAGAGAGCGTGAATGTGTGGGGGTGAGGGATTTCTGACAACTGCCATCTGGCACGCTGGAACACCCGTACATGTGACAACATGACAGCATCAGTGTGAACAGCAGCTTTTAAAGTAAAAAAAAATGTTTGCTGCAAGTTTTCCCTAGATTGTGACAGATTTGTAAGAGAACAGAGCAAGGCATCACTGAATATGGCTCTGTTGACTGTGAGCCAGTGATTTAAATATCGCTCCTACTAATTGAAAGAAATTTTAAGAGGTTTTTAAGTGCAGTGTTTGACTTTTGTTTATTAGCCAATGTTTGGAATATTCTGAGCACAGTTGGCAGTTTTTCCTTTTCGGGAATGTTTTGTTTTTATTTCAAACACTCAGCCTGGACTTTTAATACCTCCTCCACTGGCACCTGCTGGGGAGCTGAGTATTCCTGTCCAAACTTAAGCCACAAAAACATAAACAACCAGCTTCACAAAGCCTTCTGTCATCACTTTCTTTATTAACTGCATGTCTAATATGCCCGCTGTACCTTGTTTTAGTTCAACCTGTGTCTTGTGTTGATTTCCTGAGGAATAGAAACACAGGCGATAAGAAGAAAAAGCTGTTATTGCAGGTGGTTATTATGAAATATATTATGTAGTATAACATCAATATAAGTACTGTGCTGTGTTATGGGGATGGTTGCCTAATCCCTTGCTGTGAAGGCTTGGTATCCCATGAGGCTTTGGAGTACATGTACAGCCACCTGGTCCTATCAAGAAAGGGCAGTGGCACTGCTGTAGCCATGGGCATTCAGAAGCCAAACAGTCAGTTATATGAGTAATTTCTTGTGTAACCTTTCTGCAACATGGCCTGACATAGTTTTCACTAAACCATAATCATCATATCTCATTATCAGAGATGCTCTGTTCAGCTTTGTTGCGGTATAAAAACGTCACCTCGCTTTGTCTCATGTATGTTAACATGTCATTTTGAGCGACTTGCTGAAATGACTGAGTTTTGTTGAATTTTGTCATTCCTCTAGGACAGTCCCTGCACTCCAAATGGAAAAACTCTTTCTCTGTGGACTTTGCTTTGTGCATGAAGGCACAGTCATGTTGAGTCAGGAGAGGGACCTACATTTTTTTTATTGTTGTGTACAGTATTTTCTTGAAGTGTAACCAAGGACCTAGCCCAAACAATAAAAAAACACCCCCAGACCAAAAGTATGAAGACTTTAGGTGTCCATATCATGTAATGTTGCTCTATAGTGTCATAAATGCAATAATGTCAGTTCAGAAAGACAACATATAAGCATATAAATCTTAGGGATCAATTTTAGAATCTCACTAAAAACTTTAAGAAATCGTTGCCCTGAATTAACAGCATTTGTTTTAAAACATAATTTTACAGTCAAATGAAACAAAATTGTTATTCTGATATGAATGTTACATACTCAGCATCACAATGTTTTTTGCCTCAAGAAGCAAATTATGTGAATGCCTGTAAACTCATATGTAAACCATTAAGCATAGCCTAAGAAATAAACTGGTCACAGACAGCTAGTAAAAAAAAAAAAAAAGAAAAGGATCAGCTAAATTCCCCACTTAATTGAAATCTGTAATTGCCCTAAATGACTATGTATCTATGAAGATTCCTTCAAGAGTGATTTGAAGGCCATCATTTGGCCAGAGTAAATAAGGTGCCCCAATATACCTCCCAAGTGTCCCTGAGAGTCCTTGCCTCAGGGAAACAACCATCTGCTTGACCTCACTGTTCAAAGTGGGTCATTTCATTTAAGAACAGAATCAAATCTCAGTCTGTTTGGCTACAGCTCACTCATCACTTACCTTTGTACCTTTGAGGAAGAAAACAGTCATAACAAAATGTTATCACTGTATCCGGATATCACCTCTAGCAAATAGAGAGGGTTTTTTTTTTGACTGTTTGTACAGTCATCATTTTATGAAGGTGTGTAAGTGTGGGCTGTAGTTCGATGTGTTGGAGAATTCCCAAAATGAAGAGCCATTAATATCACAAGCCTCAGCTATAACTGAGGCTTGTAGCCACAGGCATAACCATCTGGAAAATGGGTGACATAAACATTCTGGACTTGGGGTGAATCACTCCATACAAAGTCATTTCTGTAGATGTCACTCAAATATGTCTTTTTATGTCCATTCTCAGGCCTCAAGGGATAAAAGGTTTGCACTGTGATGTCCATTGGGAAAAGTATCTGAAATATATATTTTTGTTGTTGCTCATCCTTTAAGTGTCAGCATCAGTAGCCATACATATGATACAGTATAATGTATTCTAGTTGTTTTGAAGGTCATAAACGTAGCCTTGCAGATAACACATTATACAGTACACCTGCTACAAAGAGTCCAACTCAGTATCTGGTACTGTAACATGTGATTTACATCAGACATCAATGTAGTGAAAGAATACAGGTGTTCTTTTCATAGAGAGGTGAAAATAAGTCTGTGGAGGTCAGAGTAGTGCATGTGCAAGCAGCGCAGGAGTTTGTCTCCTTGTCCATAAGTGTTAAATAAGCAATATGTTAAATATTTACCATACTGTAATTGTTAGCTTTTTATAACCTTAATTCTGCTGTAGTTTCAATTTACAGATATTGTAGGACTATATCATTTATAAATGTTACCCCCTGTCTTAGATTAATGCATTCGGTACATTAGCACTATGTGAATTAAACCATATCTCTTGCATGACAGAGCCAGCACAGCCTTGAGGCTGACCTTTCAGTTGTGCCCGGAAATGAGGAAGCACATGGAGATTCTACCAAAGACTGGCTTCATACAGGCTCAGTCAAGCTTTAACGCCCAACTCAGGTTCCTACCAAGGTAAGGAAAGGACACACAGAGGATGCAATGATAATGGAATCATTGGAGTGTTCATAATCTTATTTTAGACCGTAAGCTTATTAAGATTCTATCAGCATCCTATGAAAGTGTTTCTGTCCAAAGGAGACTTGTATGTTTTGAGCCAGGCTTGCAGTTTTGTGATTTCCCATCCTATGTTCTTTTAGCCAGTGTCATGAACAAAAGCTGAAAAAAAGATACAAAACACACATCAGAAAATCTGGTTTTTTTTTTATAGTTTTTTTGTTAAACAGATTAACTCGGTTGTGAAATTTTTTTCAATTGTGATTACTGAGTAAAATGAAGTATTTTCTTTCTTTTAACGACTTTGGCATTGCAGTACGCATTTTTGTCAGTTCTAGGCTTGACTACTGTAATTCGTTGTATTCTGGAGTGAGTCAGTTGCTTCTTTCACATCTTCAGATGGCCTATTGACAAGCTTGCATAAATATGAGCATATAACCACTATACTGGCTTCTCTTCACTGGCTTCCAGTTCGCTTTCAAATCGAGTTCACGTAGCTGATTTCTGTTTTCAAGGCTTTAAATGACCTGGCACCTCCATACTTCGGTGATCTCATACGATGGCACACACCTGCTAGATCTCTCAGATCATCAAATATGTATTTACTAGAGGTACCAAGGTCTCGCCATAAACACTGGGCTGATTGTGCCTTTGCCGTGGTGGTTCCTAAACTGTGGAATAACCTTCCTCCTAATGTTAGATCTGTTACAGGCCTGGCTATGTTTAAGACTTTCTCATTTTCTAGGGCTTTGGACAACTAATTGAATTTGATACTTTTATTAATCTTGGCTTTTATTTCTTTCTATTTGTTATTTTCTTCCAATTTTAAATGTTTTACCTCTGTTTCCTTTATTTTATTTGTGTAAAGTACTTTGATCAACAAGATGGTTTAAAGTGCAATAAAAAAAAATTCTGATTTGATTTTAGATTTGATATTCAACTAGTTACTAATTGATGTAACTAGTCCAATGCTGAGATCCTGATGTAGCAGCGTCACTATAAAGAAGTCAGATAGGAGAGGTTTAGCATTTGGAAGACAAATAAATAAATAGATAGAGGGTGCTTCTGATAATGATTTCTAATGACTTTGAAGGAATGGTAGTATTTTCTACAATAATACAGCCTCTATATTTAGATGGAGAGTCGGGAATTGAACTGCTGTTTGAATGCCAGGAGAGTGGATAGGGGACCCCCAGGGCAAATATGAGAGGCATGCAGTATGTAAAACTTCAGCGTGGGTGCAAGTATTCTTCGGTCCACCCTCCATTTTCTATTTACAGTTCAGCAGTTTTGTGTATTGATAGCTGAGAGAATATTGATGAAATAAATAAATAAATAACAAGAAGGTCATTTTTTCCATACATGACAAAAGTTAGGGAAATGTAATGGTCAGCATCCAGCAGTGGTGCAGGAGGGGAAAGTGGCAAAATGTCAGTAATCTATCTTAGTGATCGGGTTCTATAGCCTTACTTGTGCTGCTGCTGAGATGGTGCAGCATTCACTAACACAGTTACAGCTACCACCCCCTCTTTACTCCTTCTGTATCACACTTCTTCTCTCTGTCTCTCTCTTCCACTTCTGTGCTGTCTTCTCCCACTCTTTCACACATACAAGTCTTTTTCTTGGCCTCTCACCTCTGTGCTTAATGATACTTCTCTCTGCTCCTTCAATTTCCATCTAACTACATCTATTTTGCCTCTCTGTGTTATTCTCAAAAGTCCTCTCATCCCTCTGTACATCTACCATCCGCCACTGCATATATACTGTATGCTGGCCCTGATTCTGCTTACATAACCTTAGACACCAGAATCAGTTTTCTGTGCTCTCACTGACAACACTGTTGTTCAGTTTATAGCAACTGATCTTACTGTGTAGGTTTGGGCATCGGTTCTATTGATTGTTTTACAGCAACTTTGAACTCACCAAGTTAATAGCTGAGGTATAAGACAGAGGAACACCACTAAGTATGTCTGACAGTAAACTGATTAACTGAGTTGCCATTCAATTTCATTTAATTAGACTGTTTTTGTTTGGGAGTGATCTTTTTTTTTTTTTTTGCCCTAAACAGTTAGTACTGTAGCGTGTGACGTATGTGTTAGCAGTTGCTAGATGCAGTTACCTATACTTGTGACACCTGAAGAAATATACCAACCTAAGAATGTATTTTTGTTATCAGTTATATCTGTAAGAAAGTACAACCTGCACAGTTGTGATAATCTCATGCATGCTTGCCACCATTTTTCTGGCAGTACATTTCTATAGACATTTTCTGGCTTGGCCAAAGGCATATGATTTCAAATCAATATGAGAGGAATATGCAAGCAACTTTAAATGCCATCTTAAGAGCCCTAATTTACAAATTGTCAACATTAACACTTTTCTTTAACCCTGTTCACAGTGAAGTACTAGCTGTATCCATAGTTTATCAGATATACTTAATGCAACAGTATTATAATAAGAATATTTGGTTACTTGCCAACAACAATACTGAGTCACAGTCTTGGGGGAAGAACCTGAAAACCCTCATAATAAACTGATACCTTTCAATCTCCTGAAAATCCTTTTTTATGAAACTTAATCCTTCCTGCTTTATTTTTTTTAAATGCCTCACTGGCACATTTTTATGTATTGTATGTGCTTGAAGAGTGCTGCATTTCATGGTTCAGTAAGTGTCTCTCTTATTTATTACTAATTCTACAACTTTCTTGCCCCGTGACTTCTATTTAGAGCTGTAACATGTTCCCATACTGTGCCTCTCATATATTATCATTTTGCTCAAGTCACAGAGTCAAACATCTGTTTTACTAAACGATAAGTCTCTAATTATCTAAGTATCCCTGAAAAACCTGAGGGTTATCTTTCAGGAAAATGAATGCTTTGCTCTCATTGTAATGATAATACTTAGCAGCACAAACTGGGACAGAACTGACTGTCAAAGCTAAGATGCCTCGAGGCCCTAAAGAGTTCCCTCCACCTGCACCGAAAATTCACACAAATCATACCAGGTGATGAAAAATAAATGTTTCCAGCATGTCAGCAAGCTGTGTTCCTGTATATGTCATATCTGTCATGGTTGGATCTCACCTTCCACTCTGTAGGTTTTTTGGTAGGTTTGCCTTTGTTTTATGCAGCAGCGGTGTGCCATTTAAAATGACACTGCCATGTCTTCCTAGTCAGAGGCTATGATTGGATTTCCAAACCCTCATTAGCAGCACTGCTTTCACTCACTGTCTTATCCACACACATACACTCATACACTGTTATATCAGGCTTCTAATGACTCATAGCTTTATTCTTTACACAGGTGTTTTCTTCTTGCCTTCCCTCTTGGGAGAGAGTGAGCACATTCTTGTTTCCTGCTCTGGAGGATTGTGCTGAACCTGCCCACATGCTTTGCTTCATCCCTCTCTGCCTGTCTTCCTCCACTTTTATTTGTCACCATCAAGCCCACACTTTTCCCTCACATATCCACAGCATTGTCCCTTATACTACATAAACCCTGCTCTAGCTAACAGAAATGCTGCTCAGTTACACTGCAATGGGCATTTAGCTGAAGTGCCTGATAGTGTTCATGTTAGCCAATTTTGTTTGGAAGAGGAAAATATTTTCTTATTTTCTTTTATTATTTTCAGTCAATACAGACTTTGTGGTGGATGCTCAAAATGGTTAACTGTCCTCATAATAGTCGAAGACATACGTCAACTCAAGAGTTGTTATTTTTGTAAGTCATCTCACAACAACCCACACAGTTCTGTCCATCTTATCCATACATGCCATCATTTCTATGGCTGTTTTCCTGTCACTTTATTCATAAATGTAGTCAGCTAGTTATGTAGAAAGATGATGTCCCGCTTCTTAATCCCACCTACAAAGCTCTGATTGGTCAGTAGTTTCTCCAAACCAGGGGATGCAGCCATCAAATCAAACCTATTTAAATTGATAAAGAAATCAGAAATGTTAAAAAATATCCACATTTATGTCTTGTAAGATTTAGAAATTAGCATGTGAGCTATGTTACATAGCCATACTCACTTATGCCATTATGAGAAAGATGTATTATAGTTTTCATACTCACTTATGCTATTATGAGAAAGATGTATTATAGTTTTCAGTAAATAGTATAGCTTAAATAAAACATCCTGTATGTAGAGAATTTCAATTAACACATTTTGAAATGGCTGGAGGGATATTTGTTTCCTTATTTGTGCTGTGTAAACCTGTGATGTTAAAAGCATGAGACTAGGGTTACTTGAATGTGAGCTTTTAGGTATAATCTCTGAAGCGTGAGGCAATATGTCCCAACCCAGCAGTTCAGGCTGATAAAAGGGAGATTACAAGTATGATTTAGTACAGATTACACCAAACAGCTCTACCAGCACTGTCACTGCTGGTTCACTGCTCACACCAGGCTCAGACGCTTTGATGATGCAATGAATTGCCCCTCAAACAAGATGTCCTGTTTGATTAACATGTTTTTGAAGATGTTTTTTGGCCATGTACTACATTTTATACCCATCTATTTCCATCCCTAAGTCTCTTACCCCATCATAAGTTCTTGAAGTTTCATGATTAATATGTTGTGTGAGTTTTTGGAGACTCACTGTCATGGATTAGGTGCTTCTCATCATTATCACTTTTTTACTTTCCAGGTTTTAAAGGATAGACATATCGAGTCAAGTCAGTCTGCCCAAATCTTTCAGTAGTTCCTGGTAAAATCCTTTTACAGATAGGCACTACTACAAAGTTAGAGCTATTGTGTCATTAAAGACTGTAGAGGAAGTTACTTTTGGACAAGATTGTGGATAATCTGGCTACAGAGAAGAAAAGCACACAACTAAAGCTGTGCAGGACAATGACAAATCTGAAACCCCATCCATCCACTAAATTCTCTTGAGCATATGGGCCTGGCGATGTCCCACCAGGCTTTTCCACTCTGCCCTGCCAAGCTAATTCAAGAGTGAAGATCCAGCAGTAATTCTATTAGCAGGCAGAATAAGAGCGCTTCCTTAAATACACCCTCTGTGCTCACTGGCCGAGTTATGGAGGGAATGTTTTTACTCCTCTTCATTAATGCAGAGATGTAATTTTATTTTGAGGAAGTGATCTATCAGGTTTTGAGTCACTGAGAATGCTGTAGTAGAACGGCATGTTTACAGTATTTGCATCCAGCAATGTGGCCTGGGAAATATGAAACACAAACCTGTCCTTGACCCCAAAGCTGACAGATTTGCTGAAGGCGAGGCTTGGTTATAGTGCTTTGAAAAAATAGTGACATCTGAAGAGCCTTAAAATCACTGACATTTACAGCATTAGCTCTCAAGCCTTCAACCAGTTTTAAGAGCATAAAGAGGAAAAGACAGAGAAGACAGCTGATAGAGGAGGAACAGAGGAAGAAAGGAACAGCAGAGAGAGAAGGATGTTTGGAGAAGAAGAGACATACTGGGAGCCACTGCAATTAGTCACAGTTTACATGATAATGAACTATACATACAGCAATTATATATAGTGTGTATGTATTAACAAGAGAGTAGCTCTTGACACTGGAGGATATTGAGGGACTGGAGTTTTACATAAGCCTGTGCATGACTACTGGTCCTCTTTGAATCATACTTACGTCTCTCATCACCATGGTTACAACCTACAGTAGTGTGGAGGCGCACTCTACATCTCCCTCCTGCTTTCCCTGGTGAGCCGATCCTGCAGTTATGGGTTAACGTAAAGTAATGGGTCTTCAGGGTCTGATTCTTTATCATTCTTTGACAAACCTGACCGTGGCTCATGGATTTTTACTGTTAGTATGTGATGAACTAAAAAAAAATCAAAAATACAAATAGCCACCTTTAAAATCACTGTTGCAGTTATGTTTTTGCTCCACTCTTCATGATGTAAACATAAAGCCTTTTAATGAGAAAGTGCCACTTTGCATGATAGTGCCGTCTCCCATGCTGTACCCCTCTTATAGGCGCTCCTTATCCAAAGATGCCAAGAGGTTTTTTGACAGTGACACAAGTGTCCTGGAGGTTCCAGTGACAGCGCAGGTAGCAGGCCAGGTATGTATCGTATTTTACACTGCATACATACAGTCAGTTATACAGTAAACCTCCCCCGTAATCCTGAACACAGTGCTGTTACCCTGCAGCACAGGTCATGTGTCCTATTTGTGCCTAACAGAAGCAGAGCCACTGAAGGTTGTAACCTATTTTGCTAGTAACAAACTAAAATTATCTCTTACCCCCAAGGCCCAGTTACTCCATGGGCACTAATAATTTAGGCATAAGGGTTATTACACATTTTTTCAATGAAAATGTCCCCAGAAGCTCAAAATAGGTAAACAGGAATTTACTGTGTGTGTCATGTTTTAACGTACATTCATTTTGTTCTGTTGGTTCAGTTATTTGATTAAATTGTGCGCCCTCCTACATGGGGTTTTGCTTTTCTTACTTCACTAGATCATGATCTTTGATTCCCTCTGGCTGTTTTTCCATAACAACTGTAGCTACAGCAATCTGCCATGCCAAACTGATGGATAAAACAAGTTCTCTTGGCTTGTTGTGTACAGTGCAGCAAACATTCATCTGGGCACTCTAGCATTTGCACTTCACTGCCATTCCTCTCAAAATGTACAAATCCAAATATCCTCAAGGTCCAGGTTGTATTTTGAAATATAAAAACAATAAATTTAGATGTACTTAAAGTGGACTAAATAATGTGCTTACAGAAACTGAATTCCTTCAACATGTCATCAGCAGCCTTTATTAAAAAACATAGAGCAGCTGCTTAAACATTCGTGTTGCACTGATGCCAGTCCTTTTTCTCAAAAAAAATCTAAATTTGGTCTGTCTTCTTGCCAGATTGCCACCTTCCTCTCTCTCACCATTAAGCCCCTATTCCCTGTCTCTTCTAGTATGTGGAGAGCAGAGGATTATGGGGGGGGGCAGAGCTGTGACAAGAAGCCAAAGACTGGGCCAGGATGCTCCTGTGGAGCACCAAAGCTGTTGCCCCCAGCCCCAGTCCCTGAGCTCCTGGCATTAAACCATGCACACACACACAAACAGCAGCCAGGAAAGCAATGGTGCAGAGACCAGTAAACAAGGTCATCTGCTGAGCACTGACGTAATTCAAGAGGCTGTCATGTTGAGAAAATGAAATGCATTCCTTTCTCATCGAGAATCTGTGTGTCAAAGGATAAGGATGGTAGTTCTATTTTTTTATTGTCAACAAGCCCAATGAAAAGAGCTTCTTTTACGGTGCCATTGAGCTCAATTATTGTTCAAAAACTATTAAATATACATCAGTGAACCACACTGGTGCACTGGGTGGTGTTCTTACATTACCAACACATGCACCAGGTTTTGTTATCCCATACAAACCATCCTAGAGCTTGAAATATTCACTAGAGCATAAAATATGTATTAATCCACTGCTTAAAATAGTCCCCAGCAAATGTAGTATTGGAGAAGTTTTTGCTAAAAACTGCAGCGCCAAATTGTATAAATGCTGTTGTTATAATGACAGTATATTTGTGACATAAATATATGTAGAAAGATATACTAATACATTGTTGGTTTTGGTCTTTCATAGATTTGTTGACAATAAAAAATATAACCTAACATCAGCCTTATCCTTTCAGCATGATTAGCACAAGCTTAACCATAATAATTCAAAGAAGGAAAGGGGATAAGATTTATAAACAGTTAATTTGTTGCAATTTCAATTTCTAAAACTGACTTTGAGGCTGCACTCTGTTTTGGAATGCACACACACACATGATTCAAAGAGGCCCAGTAGTCATGCACAGAAAACTAAAGCGGACTAGGCTTAAATATGAATTTGATTTGGTAAATGCTTCAAGTGCATATATTCATATTTGTAAAATCACAGGCATATTTTAATGACAGAAACATCAGTCAATACTGGTTATATGATCATGTCACTGCAGTCTTTATTCTCCTCAGTGTTTTTTTCTTCATTGTGAGTCCGGAAATGTCTAATTAAGATGTAGTGATACCAGTGCAGAACAGTTTTCAGACCATCCACTGGGACCATTTTGCACTATAAATCAAGCCATCCTGATTTTCTATAGACACAGTAGCATTCTTATGATGGCAGACTAAAATAAAGAGAATCTAGATTAAATGTGATAAAAAAGAATAAACTGGTATTTCCTCATTGGTGTTGATGAAACATTGCACACAAAGAATACTGGCCAAAGGTTTTTAGAGATGCTCTATGTTTGTGTGTTCAGGTGCAGCCTCTCCATTTCACAGTACATGCGGTTGTGACCTCCTCAGAACTGCAGTTTGACCAGACCGAGGTGGATTTTGGCTACTGTTCTATTTACCAGTCAGTCAAGAGCACCGTGTGCCTTACCAACCTGTCGCTACTGCCTCAGGACTTTGGCTTTTTGAGCATTCCAGAGGTGCTGTATGAGGGGCAAGAACTTTTTTCTGATTGTGGTTTGCATTAGTATGAATACCTTATCATTGGTTAAATGCTACTATGTTACATGGATCCAGATACAAGTGGAAATAATTGACTAAAAACAACATTTTGATCACTGTGTAGATGATGTCAGGTTTGTAGGAGGCTCATATCACTGAGAAGGTTGAGATATGCATTAAAACAGCTTTGCTACATTGTAAACAAAATCAAAAATAAACAGCGAGGCAGTTATTATTGAGATAAAATGACAGAGTTACATGCCTGCATTGTTTTTCTGTGAAATTCACTTTTAAGTAGGCAGTCTGAATTCAGTAGAGGAATGGTGGACCCTGCCACTACTGATAAACATATGTAACTACATCGAGAGATAATTGCTTAATGTAAATGCATTGAGTGTTTTTTGTGGAAACAGTAAATAGTATCAAAATTGGAGTTTGAATTCATAAAAATCTTTAGGGTTATAATTTTTATTTGGTAATTAAACAATTTGTATTGTGTTGTCTCTTACACTACAGTTTATTGAGGTCCAGCCTAATGATGGCTTTGGTACACTGCTCCCACATGAGAGCTTGGAGATTGACCTGATATTCAGTGCCAACAAAGCCAAAGAGTACAATTTTCAGCTCAGATGCAAGTCTGGAATGAACAGGTTAATTTATAATCCTTAACTGTGTGTAAATTAATTGCCATATATAAATTTGTTGTCTTATAGGACATTGACTTTAATGATGGAATTTTCTTGATCACTGTTGTGTCTAAATTGATGGCTATGATTGAGTTTATTTGCTCACATCCCATATGTGTTAAATCATAACTCTGTGATTTCTTTTCTTTTGCCATCAGAGATTTTCTGCTGTCTTGCCGAGCAGTGGGTGTCCACCCTCCACTGGAGCTCTCCCATTCTCTGGTCCAGTTTGGGGCCACAGCAGTGGGTGATCACTCCACCGCTATACTGTACCTGATCAACAATCACACCGACTGCAACCAGTCCAAACAACCAGTCACTCCAGTGGTCAAGGATGCCACGACTCCTATATCACCAAGGCTGTTCTGCTTTAACTCACCAGGGGATTCAAACATCAGCATCACTCCGTGCACAGGACGCCTCTTTCCTGGAGAGGTAGAGTAGAACACTTCCTACGTTTTCACTGATGACACTCAATTGACACTTTACATTATAGTACAACAATGCACTCTACTGGACACCTGATGAAAGTGAATGAACAAGGGTTCCTTATTTTGCTCTTTCTGTGCTTCAGTATCAATGAGTACAGAACATAATTCAAGCAATAGTCTTAATTTGAATTTTGTATTCACTTGGTGCACCTTCATTTCCAAGTGTTGTGAACATCTGTTACTGTGGATTGTGATCACTGGCAAGAGAACACTTTCCCACAAATTCACATGCTCACACAGAGAAAAATTAATCCACTGTATTAATTTTTTCCAAATGAATAACAGAGGCCCACTGGGAGAAATCCAGTCTGCAGTTGAGATAACAGAGGGATTATCCTCCTCAGTCCAGTTGAATTTGTCCATGCTAGAGAAAGCTCAGAACGGGAGAATGGCCACAACTAATTTAGACCTTTATTCTGAAATACACTAGAGGTTTAAATGAAACATCACCAGGGTGAAAGAGTACTACGATGTGAATGCCATTCTAAAGTTCTGTGAAAATTTGAACAGTATCACAAACATTATTCACTGCCACTGGTGTATCCAGGGAAGGGGTTTTATATGATTAATTCCTGATACATTTCAATCTTTCCTCTGGCCTAGAGATGTCTGGTTCAAGTCATGTTCAGACCCAGATTGTTGGAGCAGGAGATCAAAGAAGAAGCACTGCGTCTCCTCCACCGAGCCAGGTTGCTCTTTGAGGAGGAGTTGGAACGGAATAGACATGCTGAACAGCAGGTACAACTGCACACCCTCCTACTCCAGTCACGTCTTGCTGGTGTGAGGGTCAGTCTGTGCTGCCACTAGGGAATTCAATGTGAAAACAGCTCCAGCAGCTTAGATTTTTTTTAATTTTTATAACAATACTGGTATTTCTACAAATGTAACCCCTGCATTTGTTTTACCTTAATGTAAATCCATCAATCATGTTCATGTCTGTGTTTGTTGTAAGGCTGAAAAAGACAGCCCAGTGGGGAACAGTAAAGCAAAGAAGGTGTCTGCGAATGCAAAGAAGGCGTCTGCGAATGCAAAGAAGGCGTCTGCGAATCCAAAGAACAGCAAGAGGTCAGACGAGCCAAAGACAGATAAACCAACTGAACCACCAAATCCTGCTGACATACAGCCTGGGTAGGAGTTTGTTTTTCTTCCTTTCTTTGTATCACAAATTACTTTTGAAAATATAGACCAGTTTGCTGAACATGGACAGAAGTCTGAAATCCAACTGCAATGAAATGGAAAGGGTTTCATTGTGCTAAGTGCAAGTAAAGTTTGTTGATAGATTTAAATGTGGACCGTTTTCCTTCAAGGTCAGAGCTGTATGAGGAGGCCAGGGCCTCTCTGCTGTATTCCTTCACACAGCGCTATAGTGAGTACACCATTCCCTGCTTTATATCAGACGGAGACCCTCCAGAGGAAGACAAACAAGCTCAGCCCACATGGAGGTAACAGTGAGTCAGCTTCTATACCGGTCTGAACACACTGTAGACCCTGTCATGTCAGATTTGTGGCATGTTGTGTTTTTAAACTTCACTGAGCCTATTACAGAATACCTAAGGTACTTTGTAATGTTTTCATATAACTGTCACAATTTGTGGTCTTGTTACAATTTACAGATTTTGTAGTCCTAAATGCTGAAGCCAGCTGTGAGCCAGATCTACTGTATCTGATCTTAAACCATAACCTCCTTTGCCAGACTAAATAATGTAGTACCCCAGGGAAGGTGTTGTACTTGACCAAGAAGGAGTCTGGAACATAACCCCCCTATAAAACATGTCATCTTTCCACTCAGTTTTTTTTTATATAAACAACAAAACATATTGTGTTAATTAGTGAGCATCAGTGGTACTAGTGAGAGGTTTTCGTTACCTTTAGATAGAGCCGGGCTGGATGTCCCCCCCTGTTTTCAGTCTGTGTTAAGCTAATGTAATTAGCTACTGGTTTTCATGAATCTTGTGTATTTGTATGTCAGTTTTTGTTTAATTGGTATCTTGGGTTGTGTGTTGTCTTGCCTGTTATGTATGAACTGAAAGCTCACCAAAGTATGTCCTTAAAAGGTTTTGACTAATTTTGATTGGTATAAAGTAACCAAAAGCTGTTGTCCATATCAATATTTATAAAAACTACTGTTTTTTGACTTCTCGTTTTTTGTCCTGAGTACTTAAGTGAAAAGTATGTTTAATCTATTACCCAGATTTCTCCTTTCATACTTGTTTTGTCCAACATCTCTACAGTCCCTTCAATACTCTCTATTTGAAGCTGCAGTGTCCTGCTATACAGCCCCCTCTAGTGATAATATCCAACAGTGGCCACAATATCATAGATTTCCATCAAGTGGCAGTGGGTAAGTCCTGTTGAATGTTTATATGGCTTGGTGATTCATCACATACTGTAGGCGTGCATTCCACTTACTATCTTTCCTTTTTTGGGTATTTATTTATTGTGTTTTAATTTTGTCTTCTGTTGTCAGGAAAGAAAGTGATAAAAAGGTTTACAGTTCAGAACATTTCAAAGGACTCTTTGGATGTATCCTTTCTCGTCAGAACTATAGGACTATAGTAAGAGTCATGTTTTAAACTCCAAAGGCAAATATAGTTACAGTTATAAAATCCCACTTAATGCTATCTGTGTACTGCTGTATACTATATATATCTCAAAATACACTCAAGACATCAAACGTGCTTTATGAAAAATGGATAAAATGCACATCTATAGTTTATTACTTAAAATGCAGTTATTAGAAAGACGTATTTTGGCCAGCAGGTTCACTTCACTTTCCTGACTTTGAGTAGCTGCATTAATGAATAATGAATACAATTGTGTACAAATATGTAAATGTCATAGACTGGCTTTCGTCAGATTTTCTATAGTACGAGGTCACATAAGTGTGTATAGGGTAGGTTCGCTGAAATAACAAACAAACCTCTACCTCTAGAAGGATTTGCCAGCACGGGTAGACTTGGGTTTATTTGCATTTGGTTTTGAGACCTCAGTCCCTAAGCTTTCTGCCTCCAACCCTAAACAATAAAAAGTATTCATTTATTTGAGAGTGAACAACAGAGAGATGACAGGAGAGAGAAATGGGGAGTTACATGCCGAGGCTCCAGCTGGAATCTAACTGGGGATATTGCAGTTCATGGCTAGTGCTTTGCCACTGGGGTGCCTCACTGTTAACAGTTGATATATGGATTTGTGTTGAAAGTGTTTCTAATGAAAACTGCTCACTGTGTGTACTGTGGATTAACCTGCATAACAAGGACACCTTCACTGGAGATAGAGTTTGCTTTTGAGAACTGTAAATGAAATCTTTTTAATGTGAGCACCATAAATGAAATTCTGTTCACCTTAATTGTATTGAGGTGGAGACAGAAATCGCAGACCTGGGCTGCCCTGATGGCCTTGGGGTTTAAGATGCTGAGTGTGTAATTGGAGCATTTTTGGTTCACTTCTGGCTAGGGGCCTTTTGTTGCATGTCATTCTCTATCTCACTAGATGAGGTTATTTCAAACAATGTGTTCAAGTTAAAGTTAAGATTTTTTACCAATCCATACTTACCTTGTTTAGATACCTGAATAGTATCTGAATAGTACAGCAAAAGCATACACTGAATGTAAACCTGAGAGATTCATCCAGCCCAAAGTCATATTCCTCAATAGGTTTACCATACGGTATTTTATACATTCATTAACTTATTAATTGTATTTCTTTGTACTAGTTCCTGTTACACCCAAAAATCAAATACTACAATATAATATGTCTTAAATGTAACTTGTCATGGCTACAAATTATAGTGATAATGACTCTTCATCACTGCTTTTCTTTGACCATTTCCAAGCTGAGGTCATCATTGCTGGATATATTTGGCCCCTTTTCCCTTCTTAATGCTCTCAGATGCATAAGACCTGGAGGTACACACACTCTGGTGATGGCCTTCTGTCCAGCTCATGAGAAAAAGGTGGGTACAATTTATCGTGGAACACTGGCAAATTGCTACATCTTAATAAGCATAGAAGCACATCACCCATGTGTCGCACTTTTCCCACTAATGAACTATTAAAAATAAATTATAAGTCAATAAGTGAATTATCAAAAATGACTGTTAACTGTTAATATTGTCCCATGTTACCGTGCAGATTCTCCGTCATCCAGGTCATAGTAAGCTGAAAAAACTTCATTTCACCTCTCCTCTTGGATGAGAGGTGAAACGTCTTCCACCTAGAAATCTAGTCCAGTTGATTTTTTTCTAAGTTTTTTTTAGATTGTCCCATGTTATTCCATTTGTCATTGTACCTCTCAAAAGAGAAACCCCATTAAGGATCATTTAGTAAGTAATAACCACCCTCTACTGTTCTCTAGTACTGTGAGAAGTTCGAGGTACATTGCCAGAAAATGACCCTGGGGATGACTCTGCGTGGGGAGGGTGTGGTCCTTGCTGTCACTTTGTCCCACCCCGGAGGTCTCCTAGACTTTGGTTATGTGTTGGAGAAGGAAAGTACCTCCCAGGTCCTGAAGGTCAGTCAACAGTGCACCAAGAAAAATAAAAAGGGCTATAATTAAATTATATCTGTTTGGTTTTTAAGACATTTTGAGAAGAAGACAATCAAATCCAGAACTGTGAGTGCGCTGACTGTTAATACATGATGATTACAGTCTCTCTAATGACACTAAGCTCTGTTTTGCCTGCAGCTGCAGAACAGCTCAGCGGTGGCAATGGGTTTCAAAGTGCTGTTGGCCAGTCTCTCTCCCTCCAGGCCCCAGGGTGGAGTTGACAGCACTCCCCTCCTGCTGGGCAGCTACAGAGACCCTCAGGTTCGGCCTACTGTGGGTAAGTTGTAATTATCACTGCAATGATTTATCAGGGAACCTGACTACTAGAGCCTTAAAAAAAAAACACAGGGCTCCACTTGTCCTTTTAACACTACAGTGTGTCCACACTTTAGCTCGTACTTAGTAACAGTCTTTTTGACTGCAGTACATATATCACTTGTTTTCATTATGAATTTAATCAATTATTACATACAAATGGGTGACAAATTAAAGAACAGACCAGAATAGATTAGTGTAGAAAAAATAATAGATGTAAATGCTTCCAGAACACGTACGTCAATAAATGTTTCGATAAGTATGAAAATGAGTTGTACCATGCTATGCTATGGTCTTGGCAGTCACCAGATCTCAGTCCAAGAAAGAAACTCAAGAATGATGTTGTTCCCTTCAGCAGCCTTATGATGGATGGCCCAAGACTTTAATAAGGATTACTGTTCATTTGTTTGTTTATTGTTAAAATGTGCATGTCCCTTAGACATCATTCATACTCTGTACAATCAGTGTATGTGTTTATGTAAAAAATAAAATTAATCAGCATATGCATACTGCATATCATTACTGTATGTTACAACTCCAAAATATAAATATCCAAATGGAAACAACACATTTTTTGCAATTCTGTGCAGTGTGGGGGCATTAACATGTCTCCACTCAGCTTTAATTTAGCCTTAGAACATCTTTTGTTCTCAGCTGAACAGCAGCATTAATTAATATTGTTAGCATCTGATTGTTACAACCAGGGCATCACAGCTATCATAGACAAACAAGACAAAAGAAAGTGATTCATGAGTGCCTCCTTTGTGATGTCATTAATGTAGCAAGAATATATGGGATATCGTAACTAGAGTTCCCTCATCTGAATTTGCATCAACAGACTGCATGGCATCTGACATAAAGGCAAGCCACAGACCTGTCATTTTTACAAGCTGTACTAGTAGCAGATATAACATTAGAAGGTATAGCAATAATGGCACTATGCTGTATCTTTTGCATTCTGTATAGGAACCCAAAACTACAGTGGGCTGAGTGTGTTCAGTGTGGTGCCAATAGAGGGCAGCGTTGCTCCAGGACAGAGCCAGGACATCACCGTCACCTTTCAGCCTGACCACCCATCTGTCAACTATTATGACAAACTCACCATAGAGCTAACGAATAAGGTCAACAGAGCACCACACACACAGACTCGCACATTTCTTTTCTCAACCTGACCTTGGCCTTAATGACTTGCTATAAAAGTTATCATGTGGTCAGGTTAAATGCTGTCCTCCCAGTACATCCTTGTTGTTCAAATGTACTTACTGCACCCTGTATGTCCTCTGTTCACTCTGGTCTTCATGATATAACAGTCTTTTAAATCTGTGTCATGTCTGTCTCCCAGTGTAAAGTTTGTGTGATGGATCTGAAGGGTGCAGCCTCTTCACACAACATGTATCTAAATGGAGGAGACCGTCTAACAGTGCCCATTGAATCCCTCCTCCCTCCATTGATAACCAGTAAATCTCAGCTCACAGGTATCAAAGCCTCATCTTTCATAATGCTACACCATTTGTCTATGGAAATTATCCATGAAAATTGATTCAAGTTTAAACCTGTTATCTAGGATACTGAAGGCCCTAGCAAGACAGGGAAGTCAAACACTGTCACTATAAAGATGACAAATAGCTCCCACACATTCAGTGATTTGTGTGAGCAAGGACAGCATATGCAATGTGGTAAATTATGCTGGTCATAGCGTACTGTCTGCCCATGTGCTAGTCACCAGCAGTTAGATCATATTGCACCACAAAATCCATGTGTGATAATGGGCACACCTCCTAGACAGGGTTGACAGGTTTTTGCTGATCTTCTCAAATGTTTGCAACTGATTTTTTTAATTTTACGATCCATCCATTATCCATACCGCTTATCCTGAAGAGGGTCGCGGGGGGGCTGGAGCTAATCCCAGCTGACGTTGAATGAGAGGCAGGGTACACGCTGGAAAGGTTGCCAGTCTATCTCAGGGCTCACACTTAGAGACCACCCCACACACACTCAGCCAGAGTGCCCGGAGAGAACCCACACAGGCAGAGGGGCACACAGAAAGGCACCGGGTCCCGAACCCAGAACCTTCTTGCTGTAAATGGACGGTATTTATATAGCGCATATTTCACAGTGTGTTACACTGGCCAAAGCACTTTACAGGACATCATTCACACACCAATGACGAGAGGCTGCCGCACACTGGCGCCAGTTGAACCACCGGGAGCAATTTGGGGTTCAGTGTCTTGCTCAGGGACATTTAGGCATGCGGGGAGACCGGGAGTCGAACCACCAACTTGCTGGTCAGAAGACGACTGCCACAGCCACCCTTCTGAGGCAACATTGCTAATCACTGCCCCACCATGCTGCCCCAGACTTTTTTTTAATGTATTTTCAAATTATTCTAACATGAGGCATGAATTTTTTGTTAATGTGATATTATTGTTTCTCATTTAAGTTAAGCAGACAAGTTATAGTGTTTGCATTGGCATGGCTGCAAGGGTCCACATGATGCAAATGTTACCATCTGCCCATTTCTGTAAAAGTCTGCGTGCAGTAGAAAATTTACTTCCACAAAGCCCAAATGTGCCGACATGTGTGAACATGTCCGTGTACGTATGCAGATACCCAGTATAGTATAAATAGAACCATGTGTGGATTCACTGCCCACACTCAATTTTGGACCATATCTTCCCCTTTAAAGTGCAGGATGAAAATCTCAAAATGTGTGGCCTGCATTTAGTAATATTTTGCAGTAGTTGGATTTGTAGGAGTTGATGAATGAAATAGAGACTGTTGACAACGTCATAAATTTTCTATGTATTTAAATTAACATTGCTAAAATGTTCACCTAATGCTAATGCTATATGGAAAGTGATTAATTTAAGCCTGATCGAAACCTGAACATGTGCAGCATATTTCACAATCCATCTTGTAGTTATTGAGATTTTTCTAAAAAAGCACATCCGTGGCACGACAGAAAAAGAGGAATGCCTATTTCATTAAGGTTAATCTTTTTGGTGCCATGAATGTCTATATAAAACTTCACAATAATCCATCCAATAGTTATTACCGGTCAGTCTTGCAAATTGATTAGCTAGACTATAAATGCACCGATTCCACTGATTTTGGTTATGTGATCATTAAAGTGAAGTAAAAGGATACACAATTTGTAGTAAAACTGTTGATTCAGTCCTCTCTGTTTAGCAGAATCAGAAGTGAGCATCCCTGTGCTGGTGACCCTGCACGCTAGCTACAGCAGGGGTGTTTTAACGCCTGCAGTGAGGGAGCTGCAGGTGGGCTGCATCCGCTCCACACAGCCCAGTAAGAAGGTACTGTGATGTCATCACTGATGACTGATGTCCAAACATCCTAAACAACAGGGGCACCAGGTTTACTTAGACATGCAGCTGACATGTATATTTAATATATTCTATATTTACTACTGTACAGTATGTGATACAGTGAAATTCTGTGAATTAATATCATTATTAATTATAATCATTGGTAATATGCATTCACACAAGACCCATCTAAGCCTCAGAAATGGCAGAAAATATGAATAAATAACTAATTTGCTTCCAAAAACATCTGAAAATGTCCTAACATCCGTTTTTGTTGCTTAGCAGTTCACTGCGCTACTGCCACATTTCCCCCTTTTTTGTAGCAGAAAAAGCCAAGCCAAAAAAGCGAACTCTGTGTAGATCACATAATTAAATTAGCCTGGCAGAGTACAACTATTGCAGATGAGGCACTTCGCAATTTTATGTATGTCAGCCCATTTTGAAGGCAAAGCATTGGTGGGTGAAAAGCCAATACGGTTTAACAGTTCTGTCCTGACAAATCTTTTCTTTGCTTTTCCTAGAGCAGTGAGTTTTACTGGGATAATGTGGCACCCCTGCAGCAGCAGGGCTTCAGTGTGGAGCCCATTAAAGGCAGCATCGAAGCAGGCGACAAATGCACCATCACTGTCACATGGACCCCACAAAGAGGATACAAAGTAAGGAAGAGATGAGTTTAGTCACTGTTACTGAGTTAAGATAACATCCTTTACAGAGTCAGGACTGTATGCATGAATCAGTAATAACTTCAAGTTGTGTTCATGTGGATTATGATGACAAAATGTAGATTTTATAACTGAGCAAATGCAGTGTTGTATGCCTAATTGTGTCTAAAAGTGTTTAAAAGTAAAATAATTAAAAAAATAGTCCAAGGGGATTGATTAGTTGAATTACTCATTAAAAGTTAAAAGCATCTTAAGAGAAAAAAAATTACAGATTTCCAAAAATTCACAAAAGATTCAACTCGTTTATAGCATTTAATGTTTTGCATTTACAGCAACAACAATAAATGTCATTGTTATGTCACCTATCAGAGTTTAAGATCTGGAAAAATCAGCCTTTTCTTTTCTGACATGGATGATATCCTAGTGGGAACACTGAATTCTAGTAATTGTACAAGTTGAAATACAGTTTACAGTAATACATTCATAAGAAAAAGTGCAGACACTGTTTGCAAATTTACTTTTTCTTGTGACTGTAAATACTGGCCCAGATTTCTTAAATCGGCAGCCTTAGCAGTACCATGAACCTTTTAAATCCAGTGTCGAGATTTTTTAACTTTATTGTAGATACTTCTGTATTTAAACATTGAGTGTATGTATGTGTTTCAGCCCTATGAGGTGGTACAGACTTGTGTGCCTCTCATCTTGAAGGGAGACAAGACGACTGTTTACAGAGTCACTGTGATGGCTTCGGTCTCCACTAACTGACCTCTGTGGTACCTGGATGGTGGCCAGTGGAGAATCTGCCCACACACACAATGACACATGCGATATGCTGAAGAGTCATATGCAGCCAACATTAACAAATGAATTGTTAATTTATAACTTGAATGTAATTATTAAAGGTGGAAAGTATCATCTGAGGATTTAATTTGAACCATTCCATTCAGTGGCTGTATAGCTGATGTTATCTTTTTTTCTTTTTTGCAAGTCAGATACACACACCTTATTGTTCATAACTTCATCTTAAAGACTTACAATATCGCACATGCTAAAACTAAACATGAAATGCTGTTCTCCTAATTTTGGACTAAAACAATAACTTAAAAATGAAAACAAATGCTAAATTGGGTTGTGCATTATGCATCATGATTATCTGAGAATTTTATAATATACGTGCACTGTATGTTCAACATCAAATGGAATCATTAATGCAGTAAGAGAAGCTCATCACAGTGAACTGAAGTAGTGGTCAGGGTAATGTAAAAAAGAAATATTTGCAAACAAATATTGCATTTATTTATGAATCTGTATGTCTAGTAACATGCTTAGCACTGATATGACATGGTTGTAGTCTGAGAACTGAGCGTGTGATTAGATGTTGGCACATTGCGTTCAAAAGTAAGAATTTATCAAATAAGCTTGGTTCTTTGTATTAAAAATGTCGCCTAGTGAAAACTGAGCCAAAGCAATTGTAAAATGCTGTATATGTATATGCTGTACCTCTGTTACAGCTAGAATTAAAAAGAGAGCCCTGGTGAACTATCATGCCTTATTCGTGAGCAAGGCTTTGGCTGTCACATTTGTGTTGAAATGAAGTTTCTTTCCAAAAGACTACATAAAGTTGCTCCCAAAGAAAAGAAAGAGTAACAAGTGTCCTCATATTAAAAGTAGTTCTAAACGACTTTTCACCATTAACACAATCCTTTTGTGAAAACCGGAATGATTAAACCCAGAACACTGCCCATCAACCCTCTGAAACACAGCACTGTATAAACCCGATTCCACCACCAGGGGGTGTGTGTAATACCAAGGAAGCAGCTGTGTTATATCACAGTTAAGGGTGTGTCAGCTGATGTAAGCCAGCAGATGTGTAAAGTACATACTGTAGTACTGCTGGTACTGTACTGTAAAGTTCACACTGAGGTCAAATAAGGTGCAGTGTGGCAGATGAACATGTTGTTCTGTTAGTTTTAGTAGCAGTATTTGGAGCTGTAGGTCTAATAAATGAAATGGTAATGATTACATAAATAATAGTGATACTGGGCCAATGATGATGATGATTATCTCTTTACTACTACTATACTACTACACTTTGGATAATCACCAAATGAATACTTTCCTTATTACATGGTTTATTTAGCTCATCAAATTTACAGTTATCTATGCATGTTCTGTGTAAATGGCATGAACAGGGGAGAAAAAATATTCCTCATGTCTTCCCAGAATGTGTTCCTGTTGTACAATTTTTACTTGTATAGCCCAATATCACGAATCACAAATTGGTCTCAAGGTCTTTACACTCTATACAGCATCACCCTCTGTTCTTAGACCCTTAGACTGGATAAGGAAAAAAGAGATGGAAGAAACCTCAGGAAGAGTAACAGAGGAGAGATCCCTCTTCCAGGAGAGACAGGCATGCAATAGATGTCATTTACAGAATAAATTATTGTATGGGCAGTGAAAGAGCATTTAGACCATGGTAGTAGTGGCAGCTGAAAGACTAGTGTAACACTTTTAGTTGGATTATTTGCTTCATTTAAAGGTTTTCAAAAACAAACACAGCTTCTTGTGAATAAAATGAACTGGCTGATTGATAATGAAGATCAAAACCGATTTCAACTATTGTTGAACATTACAGACAAGTAGTTGGTCCTCAGGTTATCACTCACATCAGAAAACCATGGACAGGGCCCAGTATTTACAAGTACCTGCCACAAAAAGCTCATGCTTTCACTTCTCCTCCAGTGATTATGGCCTTCTTCAAACGTCATGGAATTTAAAGTGGTGTTGTGTATTTGAAATAGTGGAAGTGACGGGGCTGTGTTGGGTACCCCAGACTGTAACAAGACGTAGCCACTGCATGCTACTGAAATTAAGTGTTGCTAGATTCCATGTTTTGTAAATTTAGAGGAAACGTGAAGAGCAAAACTACTAATAGATGTGAAATATATACCAAGCTGTAACAGTTTGGACCGGAGGATCGGAACTGAAGAAGGAGCTTGCCAATCACATTAAACTGTTTGGTATTAAGTTTACAGTAATATTTTTGCAAGTGGATGATAAATCAGAAAAGACCAGATCACAGGTGATATTTGAAATATAAAGTATGTTATAAAAAGTACAAGTCTGTGCCTTTGTAGATTTCAAAAATCTGCTCATCTAGAACTTTTGTTTCCAGCATTACTCTGTCACATTAAAATTGCTACATTTTCGTTGATGAGCTCTAGGTGCACTACTGTGTATTTGAACAGTGGATGTCAGTCATGCTTTAAACAAACCAATAAACTCTGACCTCTCTCTGAGATACATGGCATAAGCATTTATCAGAGATTGTAGGAGATTATGCTAAATCAGATTACTGTACCCCAACCTGCCTATAAAAAGCAAGGCCATTATGAGCTTAGCCTCATGTAATGTCACTCGTTTTATAAAATGTATGAGATCATATTAGGTGATATTTCTCTTGCCATTTTGCCTCTTTTACTAATCGGATTTTTCCCCTGATCTCCCACTAATGCTGTGAGATACTGCTACTTAGAGTATCTGCACTGCTGACAAGTGGTGTTTGTGTGCCTCTGTCTATTTGTGTGTCTATCTGCCTGTATGTGAAAAGTTAGTGAATGTGACATTACTGAATCAATGCAGGAGAGTGAAAATGTGCATAAAAGTCAACTTTCTTACAGGTCTTGAGTGCAGTTTATAGGCTACTGTACTAAAACTACTGCAGACGTTATTTGCAAGTATATAAAGATTACACTCATACTCAAGAAAAAATATGAAGTTAAATAATGAGCAGTGAACATTCAAAATGAGACATGCACCTTTATGACCAGTTTACTTGCAGAGTTTTTATAGGCTAATGCGTTTGCCGTCATCGTATTGTAAATAATATGTTACAAAAAGAATAAACCTGTTTATTACAGAAAAAAGAGAAATTGTACAGATGTTGCTTGCCTTATAATGATCAATAATGCATATCATTGCTGTGTATCATAGTTTTGCTTGTTTTTATTAATTGTTACATACTATTACAGCTTACTCTGACACAGAAAACACATCAAGACCTGGACTGTTCTGTTACTGCTCTTCTCTTCCAAAGGCTGAATGCAGACAATAAGCTTTCTCTCCTGGGTGGACGGAAGCGCTGCTAAAGAAGCTTCACAACACATGTATGCAGACAGGCAGGGGTGTATCCAGGGGCAACTAAATCTCAGCAGCATTAACCTGGGCAGATGGGTCTTAGTGGAAGCCCACACCTAGAGCACTGTCTAATACACAAACACACACACAGGGACAGTATTTTCAGCTTGCACTGTTTTTTAAAAAGTTAAATCAATAGCTAAGTTTAGGCATCTAATCCATGAACTTAGTGAGCTAAAAATCACCAATAATAACCAATGTACACAGGAATGTACACGCACAATATATTTAGGTGAAAATAACTTTTCCCTCATCAAGGCATTCTTACAAATGATCATGACTGTTTCCCACCTTACTTTCCATTATACTAAGCCATAACAATGACTGTGAATGTAAAATGTGACTGTAAAGAGGCAGCAAACATATCTGGCACAAACAGCACCTATATCCCCAAATGCTTGGTTGCAGTAGACAGAGCAGTACTCTCTCAGGAACATTCATCCAAACCAAAGCTGATGATGCTGTCATCGTCCCCCATCGGACTGAGCCCATGCACACTCTGTTGTCCCGAAGGACAGCAAAGTGTTCCATGTCTCCAAGTAACGTTTTAACCCACCGAGCATTAACCCCTCCTCTAAGCACTCCACCTAGACAACTGGTGATAATGATCAAGTCTGTGTTACAGTGACAGTCAACCCACAAACACTCAGCACAGGAAATAAATGCCCATTGATTTTTTATCCTAAACTAGAGCACAGGGACGTCACTTCATAAACCATAAAGTCTGGTAATGTTACTATGTCAACAATATGACTTGTCAGCCTTGATTTGCCAGAATATACTGACCAAATTTCTGGCAACAGGCAATGATCAAATGAAGAAATAACTTACTAACGGATCGGTATTATTTAACATAGACAGCTAAACTAAGAGTGTATAGGGGGATATGCTCTGAAATGTTTTTCTGTTTTTTTTTTTTTTAAGAAATGTCTATCAGAATAATTTCTGGCATTTATTTTTTGTTCTTCAATCCAAACCACGAGTGTATAGGGGGAAATTCTCTGAAATTTTTTTCTTTTTTTTTTTTTTTAAGAAATGTCTATCAGAATAATTTCTGGCATTTATTTTTTGTTCTTCACAATAAAACTGTATATTATACTGACATGTAGTAAAGTTGTGTTTTAGATTTAACCATGCATGCTGGCAATGACATGCTTGCACTTCTCTAGTAAAATTTGCGGTAGTCTGGTTTGGATTGCAAATGAGACAGTGTTACTGGTTTAGGAGTAGCGGCTGAAATGAAAGTCGGTTTTTTCCAGAGTTGAGAGTACACTGTGTCTCCATACACAGTGTACTCACTTTAATTAGTCATTCCTAAATATTTACAATAATCATTCCTAGTGAATTATTGTGAAAGTACCCCCCAACAGCCTGTAGAATTGTGTAGGCCACAGTTTCAGAACCACTGGCCATAAACAGGCACTGGTGTGTAGAAGATCTGTTGTCATGGAAAGCGCTCATTCTCGGGTAGCATTTCATTTTAACGCTTTCAATTAACCAAGCTAAAAACTAAAATGTTTTTGGCAGGTAAATGTATCTTGATATGCTCGTGTTACCAAAGATGGCAGTATTTCCTGATTCTGTTGGAGTGGTCGTCGACCCTTCGCCGTACGTTGTGACGCTGCCATAACGTGGGGTTTCCCAGACCTCAGTGCAGGGTTACTGCGCCCATCTCTGCTGTTTGATGGCCGGAGGAAGAAGAGACTGAGATTCTGGCTAGAAGGAAGAAAAAGAGGGACGACGACGGTGGGAAAGAGAAGACGGGGTTATTTTGCTTTGTGTTGGAGTTTGTGTTGTACGGAAGAACGCTCAAAACGGACTCTGACACGTCTCTCTGGGTGAAACACCACCTTGTCTCTGTGCCGGTGTGTCTCCCCCTCGGCGGGTCAAAATTGGGTTCGGGGAGTGCCGCTCCTCGGTAGCTAAACTAGCTAAATCTGAGCGCCTCGGTGGAGAGAGGAGTAACAAGATTTTGCTGTTTCCAGTCAATGTGATAGTAAACAGCGGATACTCTCAACTGAAAGCGGGTAAGGATATGTATTCATATTTGAAATTGCGCTTCAGGAAATGCATTGACCGTCTGTGTAGTCTGTCGAGCAGGGAAGATAAACGAAAAGGGGTTAAACTGTTGAGTGGCTCCACCGCTAGCCTGGTGCTAGCTAGTCGTTGCTGCCAAGAGAGTGGGTGGGGGTCAGTGTAGGAGAAACTCAACGCACTGCGTTAACCCGGGGGTCATTTAACCAGAACAATATTGAAATGCATCTGTGTTAGATGGGTCTGTCATGCAAGCTGGTAGTTGATGGTCAATGCTGATGTTAATTAGCAGGTTAGTTGGTAACAGTTTGGTAAGTTAGCCAGCACCCTTCTCCAACGTCCGGGTATTTTCCCCCTTCTCTTAACATATAATCTTTTTAGATGGAAAAGTATTGCCTTTGACTTTGTAACCCCTTTACCTGAGCAACATTTGGGGTTCAGTACAGACATTTATTTATCCAAAATGTCACCAACTTTTTGGAGCTGTATGTCGGCCCATATTTTTTACATCTTTTCTCTGTAGTTGCAAGTGTTTACCAGGTAAGCTAATTAGTCGTACACTTGCTACACTGTTTATCAGTGACTAACCCTAGGCGAGCTGTTTAGGATGACGATTATATATAACTTTATTACACTTGCATAACTCAAACATGAATAGAGTCTGGATGTGCTTCCACTCATGTTAAAAAAAAATTTGTAGCATCATGCAATAGGCAGCGCAGGGAGTCTAAAAATGGCTACTTCACCATCAGAATCATCACCACCCCCACTACTCTAGCCAGTCCACACAAGTTAGCCAGCAGTGACCACAAGCCTACGTTTGCAGCCTGGTATGGCTAAATCTGGGTGTGTGTATCCCCAACATGGCAGCTATAACGATTTGTGTCCTTAGTGAATGTAACCGGTGATGTCGTTACGATTCTATGTAAAACCCTCGCACTGAAGCGCTAATATTTGCCTTGCAAAAATGATTTACGTAATGCCGAAAATCCCAGCTGAGGACGCTTATTTGGCAAGCTGAATTTAAACGAGCTTGTTGAACTATCGGCGTTTAGTGAATCGAAACCAAGTCACCACGGATTGTGTAGCTACTGTGTGCCACAGCTAACGTTATATGTTGATATCCCCACGTTTAGTCTGCAGAGTCGGCCATTCACTGGTGGTGCCGAAATTGCAAATTTATTAGCCCGACTCATCACTTGAATGCACGGGCTTAAACAATATAAATGTAGGTTTATTTTCCGCTGTAGGGTGGCAAAGAAAAGACGATACGCGCCGCTGTGGACCTGATAGTAGCCAATGGCCATTTTAGTTTAACCAGCGCCAGTTTGCGACATTACAGCTCGTCCTTAATTTGAACTTCTTCTTTTAATTATAATTAAAACGATATTGTGTAATTGGATTTTGACAATCTGTTTATCTAGATCACGGTTCTGTTGCAGGGCAAGTTAGCAGGTACACTAACCGTGCACCACCGGGCCGCGCTGCTACATAGGATTTCCAGCTTTAGCCCGGAAAACGGGCACGCTTTTCCACGACGAAGAATCGAATCATGGTCAGCACACTAGTATAATGTGTTTAAAATAGAAGAGTGGAGTTTGGAAAATTCTATTCAGTGGCAATTATTTCGAAAGATGGTTTAGCAACGAGCCAGACGAGCTGTCGCGGGAAGCCGAGGTGAGCGCCGCCTCTAGTGCCGAGGCGAGATATATGTATACTACCGCTTCGGCGAATTTATTGATCAGCAGTGTTAAAATATTGGCTCTGAGGAAACGGTTCATGAAAATAGCTGATTTCTAGTCTTTTCAGAACACTTTCGGTGTCTCTTAAAAGAGCTGTTTGTATTTACTGGTTCACAAAAATGAATTTGTTTTGCCAGTGTGCCCCCCGCCTCCTCGAATGAATGGGTTCCTGTAGTCAGGGCCCAAGCAGCTGCAATGAACAAGATGGCGTTCAAAGCCTTTTTCATCACCGCTTTTTCTCAGACTGAAACAGCTGCCCAGCATCAGATGGGTTTAGGCTTGGCAAGCAAGATTTCTTTGATATATGTTTTTAACCCCCATCGTAAAAATGTACAGAATGTATTTGTATTGAAATTGTTCCGAAGCAGACGGGATTCTTGGTCAGATGAATCCAAATGTGCACCTTAGATGCAGAGCAACATGGTGGGGAAGGGGTGTTGTACATCTTGACTGTGAATCTGAATATCAGGGAACATGGCAAGGATAATAAATATTTTTTTTATTTATAATAAACATTTTATTTACACGTTTTTTTGTGATTTGAAGCATTTGTAACCACACATCAGGGAAATGTTTTCTTAATCCTGAGTGGAAGTTGCAGTTAAATTTCACAAAATAGATTAAAAATAGTAATATGTCTCTAAATATATTTAAAACATTTTAGATGTAGATAAAGTTTTCACTCAATTTGGAGGTGCAGTTTCCCTA